CACCACTTACATTTAAATCGAAAAAAAGCGTTTCATTTTCTTTGCGGAAGTGTGCTTTATTTCTATTTGCCTTTTCATACTTTTCTATCAACAGTTTCTCGCAAAACATTTAGAATTAATACCGGTCTTAGATGTATCCAGTTTATTGTGACTATTGTATCCCAAATCATAACTTTGCTCATAACTGCACTTAGCCTAAACACGCTCCAATTTTCTTGGTGTCATTCTCGGAGAAAACCTAGGGAATCATTCGAGTAGCGGCCAGTTTGTGCCAAGAAATATAAACATTTCGTAAACTGTATTTTTCAATTCTGTGAAAACATGTTTGCTTTTTTGTTTGAAATATCCATCTTCAAGCGAATGCGTCTCAGTTAAAAAGCGTTGAACATTTTGTTCAGAGGAACACAAAGATGTTTAGATTCAATTTGGTTAATTAGTATTTCATGGAACAACCATTTATGACATAATAAAAGAAATGAGTAAACAGAACAAATACTCTTCATAGCCCACCCTCCTCAAAAGAAATAAATAAATAAAAAATAAAACTTTGTTCAAACTGGGCAACTTTTGATCCGGAATGTGGGATAACTTGCACCATCAGACAACTAGATTACAGGTATGTTTCTATTTTCATGGCGGATACAGACTTCTGTTAATGCAAGTTTAAAAGCCCAGTTTAAATCTTTGTGTAAACAGACCAGAAAAATAATTACTGCAATGCTTGCCTATACACCCGGCTTTTTTCAGACAAGAAATGGATTGACAAAGGATGTCAGCATTTCTCAACCAGTTTATACTGAGTGAACATGCAACAAAGAGAATGCTTGCAGATTACAATAAGTGCCACAGGTTTTCTAGGTCAGTTTTTCAAATTTTGAAATCTGTGCTCCAGTCCTTGCAAGTGCTACAGTTACAATATGGGAAGAATAAACTGAGATATATAAATTATTACATTAAGAAATGCCACAACATAAATTCATGTAATTGTCAGTATAGATCTTGGTCTGTTCACACTTGAAATAATCCTGCCTCTGATGCTTCATTTCTGGTTTGTGTTGAAAAATAATTAAAAAAAAAATAATAATAATAATAACTATGCGCATGGCTTTAAACCCTGTTAAATAATAAAGTCAACATTTTATCTTCATAATTTCTGTTAGCACATGAAATACTGTTGTGAACATTCCTTGTGTAAACACACCACCACATCATCCCCATTAATAACTTCAATACTCAATGTCTCATTCCAGGTAACATACTTCCTTTGGCTAAAAAACAAGCTAATACATATGAAAGTCCAAACACAATATTTAGTTGCGCTAGCTTCTGTGGCAGTCTCCTTAGCCTGCCCTCCCGAAAATCTCTCTCCCTTGAAAATGCTGGGAATATGCTCAGCACAGGAAGTAGAAACCATCCTGAGTAATGGAGGGCCAGGACGAACAAGCTGATGTATGGGGAGAATAATAACAGTACAAATAACAGATAAGATGCAGTCCTGCCTATTAAGATGGCAAGGGTGATTATACCAGAGGCCTTATCAGTCTCCATGTCTCTTGTGTTATTGCAGTGGAGGATGGCTTCAGTGTTCAGTGCTAATGGCACGGCGTACCAAAGCGGAAGGAGAGAGAGCTTCCCGCACTGTGCGAGGAAGGAAAACATGACAGTCACTGGTCCAAATGTTAGAAAAATGGCGATGTCTCCTAAGGCAATGTATTTCAGTCCTAGCCCTCCGGTGTAGAGGAAACTCCCCGAGAGTCCGCCAAAGTACAACAGAGCCAGGTGCTCCATCTTTGCCGGGGACAGGTAGACGAGGAGAACGAACCCTGCACACCCTACAGTGTACAGCGCTGCCCCCAGCTGGGCCACATCGTTTGGGGCAAGGATGTGGTCCACCAGCGTTCTGTCATCGCTCTTACTCCCGTCGACCCCTTTCATGTAGTCAAAGTAGGTGTTGACAAGGTTTCCAGCCCCGTGGACCGATAAGGCTGTGAGACATGTCACTATGAATATCCACACATTAAAATACCCGCTATCTTTGTACGCTAACATGCTTCCAAGAGCCACTGGCACCAATGAAGCGCTGAATGACCACGGCCTCAGAGCTGCGACCACGGAATAAAAAGTCCCTTTCGGCTTTTCTGTTTTAGAATATTTCTCGCCATATGGCACACCATTTGTGATTTTTTCGCCTGCCATTTTGAGTCGTGATTTCTGACGTTTTTCACAATGCTATTTACATCATCTAATCTTGATTACACAGAATACGATGTTCATGCCTCCACCGGAAATTAAGTCAATCTCGTTTTGGCTGCTTTTAGCCTCATTCGCCTTCTTAGAGACAAAATAAAGTATGTCCCAAAATAAATCAAGCAACTGCAAAAACCGAATATATGAAAATATTCAATAATAGTAGGCACATGAAATATAGATCTAGACATTTTAAAATATGTAATAAATGCAAAACAAACATATCTCTAAATCTCGCGAGATTAAAAATGGCGACCTCCATTGCAATTTTGTAAGGTAAGATAGGCGTGGAAAATTTCACATATTTGTAGAAAAATATCAATATTTTCCCGGAGTGACACATTGAAATATTAGATGTGAGAGCAGAAAAACATATGGTTTTTGCTCTTAGTTTGGATAATCGTGTCAACATCAATAAATTGAAGATTTTTTGTTCAATTTTTCTGCACCGCCTTGGTCACTTGGTCTTGGTGGTCTCTTTCCTACTTTCTGTGAATAATCTGCAGAGGCAGACTTGGCAAAAATCACACTCACACGTTTCATTTCTTTCCGTCTTGGACGTGACAGGCTAATTTTATTTGAAGATAAAGTTGCATTGTTCATTCATTTTGTCACATACCTGCCTTTTCTTACTTAATTTCTTTCTCTTTTCTCCACATTTTCCTAAATATTTGTGTTAATTGACTATTCAGAGACACAGGCAGTGGATCCACATGCTCACCACATTGATACAGTGTGTTAGTTGAATCCAGAGAAGGGGGATTTCAACCTTTATCTCCAGAACCATGACAGTTTCAGTTCAGATGGCACAGTTCATCACTGGACTGAAGTCCAGGAATGATGAAACGCGGACAGAAGCAGCTCGGAAACTGAACCACTATGTCACCACCGAGCTGAGGGAAGTTTCCATCGAGGACTTGACGGCCTTCATGGACGAGTTCAATCATCATATATTTGAGATGGTCTCCAGCTCTGACGTAAACGAAAAAAAGGGCGGGATTCTGGCAATAGGTGTGCCCCTCATTGATAAGAGATAAGAGTTTATTCAGCCATTAATATATAAATATAAAATTCATATAAAATGGAAATTGGACTGCTATTCGGGTTACAAATTATAAATGAATAAATAAATTATAAATTTCCATTTTTGTTGTTAAAATAAGACAGCAGATGGGTAAAAACTCTTTTAAAAACCTTTTAGATCCCTTAAAAGTTAAAAGCCTGCAGTTGCTCGGTAAAAATTTAAAAATACCATGTGCGGGGTGGGTATAGTCAGACATGATTTTCTCTGTTTTTGAGATTAAGGTCTTCTGGGTTTATTCAGAATCTGGATGTTGAGTAATTTTTTTAGTTTTGTTATTAAATCCCTGTTTAGAACTGCACAACTTCAGTGCTTACATTTTTCAAGATTTTTTAAAAGGTCCACTTTCATCTCTGACCTCAAAATAAATGCATCAAAACTTAATTCAGATTTGTCCTCATAACACATAACTTGATTTGGTGAATAATCATTCATGGTAAAAAAATAACCGGATAGATTTATTTTTTAATAAGTCAAAATATATAAATAATTACGGGCAATAATATGTTATACTATGTGTATATATACTCCCAGTATATTTATTTGCTTATATATAACATTATACATTAAATAACTAATTTCAGTGAGCCTCATTGGAGTGGACATAGGCAACACAAATACCAGAATCAGCAGATTTGCCAATTATCTTCGAAATCTTCTGCCATCCAATGATGTTGGTGTGATGGAAATGGCGTCCAAAGCAGTTGGAAGATTAGCCCTGGCGTCTGGAACGTATACGGCAGAATATGTCGAATTTGAAGTAAAGAGGGCGCTAGAGTGGCTGACAGGAGACAGGCACGAGGGAAAGAGACATGCTGCGGTATGGATATGCTTATAGAATTTTACCAAAGAAAAAAAGTAAATAAAAAAAAAAAAATAAATATAAAATATAACTCAGTCTGTTGATACGACAGGATCACAACTTTTTCATCTGCCTTCATAATATGAATTTCAGATAAGTTTTTTTGTAATTTTTTTAAACATAGGTTGTACTTTTTTTTTTTAATTCAAATTTGAAGCTGCTTCCTAGGGTATGGTATTTTGTATGTTATAATATTATTAATAATACTTAAGTACTAGTACTTCAATATATTGCATTTTTGATGAGTCAAGGTTCCTTTAAGTACTTTCAAATATTTCTTATAGAAGATGTGCATAAATGATTTCATTTCATTTTTTAAAAAAATCTGTTTCTTCCAGGTTCTGGTGTTGAGGGAGCTGGCTGTTTGCACTCCAACCTTCTTCTTCCAGCAAGTTCAGCCATTTTTTGACTGCATCTTCAGTCCTGTTAGAGATCCCAAGGTAAACCAACCACCTGTTTCCACTGTATATCATCTATCTCAACCACCTGTTTCCACTGTATATCATCTATCTCAACCACCTGTTTCCACTGTATATCATCTATCTCAACCACCTGTTTCCACTGTATATTGTCTATCTCAACCACCTGTTTCCACTGTATATTGTCTATCTCAACCACCTGTTTCCACTGTATATCACTTATCTCAACCACCTGTTTCTACTGTATATCATCTATCTCAACCACCTGTTTCCACTGTATATCACCTATCTCAACCAAAACACTTGTCCTAAAGAGTGTAATATGCTGGCGCCAGGGGCAGATCCAGAGATATATTCTGACAGTCTTCCAAATTATCTTTGGTGATCTGTCCTCCATTTTTGACCGTTTTCCAACAGGAAAATTAGGTACCTGTCAATGTAAATTTGAAAATTTAACCGTCTTCCAGAAGACGCAGAAGACGGCCTATATCTGCCACGGGTCACTGTTTGTCATCATAAAGTTTTGACAGTCTTGGCGGAGACAGTAGTTAGTAGCAGATGTGAAAACAGTTTGCTTATTGAGTTTTAGAATCTGATTTTTATATTACTGGTAATTTACCTATTTGGACTTGGACTCAGACTGCTACTTTGAAAACCTGGTTAAAAAGTAATGAGTAGATTGAAGTTCAGAAAGTGAACAACTAAAAGCTATTGTTAAAGCTATTGTTAATGCTATTTATCTATTTATCAGCCTGCTATACGAGAAGGCTCGGTTGCTGCACTAAGAGCAGCTTTGGTGGTCACCTCACAGAGAGAAACAAAGGAGGGGCAGAAGTCGCTCTGGTATAAGGTAGGTGTTACTTGTTCAATACAAACTGCAGTCTTTATTACAGTAGCATCCACCATTGCCTCACATACATGATCTGTGTTTTATGAATATACATGTACAATAAAATGGTGATAGCAACGAATCTTTGCCTTTTTGCACATTATGTGAATCCTCTTGGATTGTTTTTCATTAATGTCAGTCTATTATAGTCGCATCCAGCATTGTCTGGTGTACAGTCATGATTTTTTTAATGATTTCATTTATTCAGCTTGTTACATTGTTACATTATTCAGCTTCTAATATTGTTGGCTGCCTATGTGCTACTTCTAATGCTACAGTTTGTTCAATGAATATTCAGTAAAATATTGACAATGCTGAGTTGTTACTAAATCATTATGAGAATTATTTTGAATATTTCACATTCACGTTAGTCTGTAACTATAATGTCATCATTACAAGCAATGTTTTGTGCATTGTGTATTTTGATTGATGAGTGTTCAATGAAATAAATAAATTGATAAATTGCAATGGCAGTGTCATGTGCTGAATTGTTATAAAAACTAATTAAATAAAATTTGGTTGAAATAGTGAAATATGATGGAAAATGCAATTAACGGAGAAAAAAACATTCATTGGTCTCCATTTTAGCAATGTTACGAAGAAGCCGAGAAACCATTCGATGAACTTCATGGCAAGTACCTGCGTCTGACTCGTGATGACTGGGCGCATGGTTCTCTTCTCATCATCAACGAGTTACTGAGATGTAGTAATAACGAGGGCGAGGTAAGTGACATTGATACTTATCGTTAAAGAGATGTACCAGCTAAGAGATGTTTTCTTATTATTATCAACAAGATCCTAAGATGTTATGATGGGGGTGAGGTTAGAGATGCCTGCTTCTTATTGTCAACAAGTTACTGAGATGTAGTAATTATGAGGGTGAGGTTAGAGATGCCTGCTTCTTATTGTCAACAAGTTACTGAGATGTAGTAATTATGAGGGTGAGGTTAGAGATGCCTGCTTCTTATTGTCAACAAGTTACTGAGATGTAGTAATTATGAGGGTGAGGTGCAAGATGTCTGCTGCATTATGATAGGCAGTCTACGTCTGATAGTTTTGAAATGTTTAATAGATGTACTACAATTATATTTGCATTGATTCAGGGTAACAAAAGAATGTCTGTTCATGATAAGTTGATGTGTTTTGTATATCTGAAGTGAGTAAACTTAATTGTATTGTGAAATAACAGGATTAAAAGACTTAATGGCACTTTTTTCTTTCAGCGATTTCGACAAGAAATGGAAGACATTTCATTGCAGCAACATTACCATGAGAAAAGTTACAGGGTAATGCATTTTTGACATATTGTGAACTAGGATTGCACAGTTTAAATACCATATATA